TAAATACTGTTCATAATCAAACTGTAATTAGTGTAAGGACTGCGCAGAAGTGGTTTGATAGATTTAGAAATAATGATTTTAGTGTGAAGGATAAGGCTGGTACTGGAAGAACCATTGACTTTAATTATGATGCTCTCTCTGCACTGGTTGAAGCAGAACCATCTTTAACGGTTGATGAAATTGTGGAACGTTTAAATTCATCCCATGGAACTGTTCATAGACATCTACAACAAATCGGAAAAGTTTCAAAGCTAGGAAAATGGATACCACATGAACTGTCAATAGCTAACTGACAACAACGTCAACTGCTCAACTCAAAAGCTTCAACTGGGAAATTTTACCTCATCCACCATATTCGCCAGATATTGCTCCCAGTGATTTTCATCTTTTTCGGAGTTTGCAGAACTTTTAAAAGGAAAAACTTTTGAGGATGAGAACAATGCAAAAAAGGCTATTTCTGAATATTTTGATTGAAACAAGAAATCATTTTACGAAGACGGGATTAAAAAGCAAGAAATTGTACAAAATAATGGTGAATACATTATAGATTGAAATAAAATTTAGCTGAAAATTTTTTGTTGCTTTTTTTGTAGATAAAAATGCGCACGAACTTATGGACTGACCTGATAATTGTCACATTTATAACAATACAAACCAACAAATAGAGAATATTTTTACTTAATTCACCTCTAACTTAAAAAATCCTTGAAAGATAAGATAAATGTTTGAAATTAGATATACAGTACTCAAATTAATTTTTAAGAGCAGATTTTATGCCCAAACCTCATCTTCAGAATATTTATTTTATTGTTTTCCAAGAGCTTCTTTAAGGAGTTTTATTTGAATTTACTAACCATCCTCCTTTTGTAAGTTCTATCCTCCCTTGAAAAGTGTCCTCCTACATGTCCTCCTTTTCAATACAGTGGAACCCCAGTTAACGAATGTAATCTGTTCCTCGAGTCGTTCGTTAACCGAAGCAATTTTTCCCATAGAAATTAATGCAAATACAATTAATCCGTTCTAGCCATCAGTATTTTTGTAATTTTATTTGTAAAATGGGTTTTCTTTGATGAAAATATAAGAAAAAGTAGTATCTATCATTACAGCAACAAATATGTAAACTTTATTTAATAAAGTAGCACTGTACATACCTTTATTTCTACGGAGCTTAATGCTTGGAAGAGGAATCCCCTCCATAAAAATATCGGGTAGCACTGTATCGGGAGTTTCTTCGAATCGAGGTCTCTTTTGATAAGGAACAAGAAAGTGGTCTAAAGTTGATTGTCTTACTCTCTTAATCAAAATTTTTCTAAAATGCGCTAGCATAGTGTCATTCATTAAATTAATGACCCTATTAGCCACAACTTTGTTAGGATGCTGCCTCTCGATAAATTCCTGCACATCATTCCATTTTACGCAAATTTCCTTGATCTCAGCACTGGTGATTTCTTCCCTAGCCTCTTCCTCTGACAAATGCTCTTCTTGTAAGACTTTCATCTGTTCTTCCTGCATGGCAACCAGCTCTTCTGTCATTAGTTCATTTTGATAGTCTTTCAGCAACTCCTCCACGTCTGCATCATCTAACCTCTATTCTCAAACTCTTGCCAATGGACACGATTTCATGCACTATATCAGGAGAGCTCTCTTCTTCAAAATCCTGAAAGTTTTGCTCTGGGACACAAGTTGGCCAAAGTTCCCTCTAGGCCAATTGCAAAGTGTGGTGAGAGATCTCACTCCAGGCTTTGTCAATAAGGTTGATACAATGCAGGATGTTAAAATGCTCTTTCAAAAACCTCTAAGAGTTAAGTCGGTATCATTTGTAATCTGAAAACACATGGTAAACAGTGCCTTGGTATACAGTTTTTTAAAATTGGAAATCATTTGCTGATCCATTGGTTGCAGTAATGGAGATGTGTTGGGTGGAAGGAATTTGACCTTGATGAAGTCATGTTCACTATCCAAGTTGTCCTCCAAATTTGGTGGATGTGCTGGAGCATTATCCATTAAGAGAAGACATCTAAGAGGAAGATCCATTTCCTGAAGATAATTTTTAACAGTAGGAGCAAACACTTCNAAAACAGTGTTTTGTATTTATAAATATAAAAATATTTATTTCATTTTTTAATCTTTTTTTATTTAAACTTACAGGTAAATAGTCCAGAGATTAAAAAAAAGTGTCAAGTAATATTGTGCCAATGAGTTTACTCTTACACTTCCTAGTTCCTTATTCTTATCCTGAATGACCTCAATATGTTTTTAGAGGGGGAAAGCTATTTATTATTACAACTTAAGCTAAGCATGTCCATGGAATCGAGTTTATCAAGCACTCGATAAGTCAAGAGACCTGTAATACAAGTTTTTGGCTCTTCATGAAAGAGGACCTCTGGCACATAAATGTTATTATAAAACAGAACGATGACCAAAGAAAAGATTGTCCGATTGTGTTTTTTAATGGATATCTGACTAATTATCATGGATGTGTCATCATGGATTAAACAATGACCTTTATTTTTAATGACCAATCTGTATTTCTAATCATATAAATCACAATAAAATAAAGAAAATATTTTGATGTTAAAAACAGTTTAAAAGTACCTGTCGTGAAAGTTGATCTTTTGGTTTTCTAGAGGAGGTATACATTATAGAATATGAATCGACTTGACCTGTAGGAACTCTCCATTGAAACGTGACGTTTCTTGAATCCAGTATTGTACGGATATACTCTTTATTAATGCTATTTGGATCTGAAAAAAAAAATTTTTTTTTAATTGTAATTTTTAAGAAAAATTACAAAATTTAAATATATCTGTGCTTAGTTTTAAAAAAGCATTTTTTTATTGGCAATTTCCTTTCAGCATACAGAAACACTGCAAAATAAGCAAAAAGTATAGTTTTTGTAGCCTTGAAAATATCATGACCCACCAATTAAGTCATGATCCTCTTAAATAAGATACATGGAAATACAGATTATGATAAAATATTTTACCAACTTACACAATGTTTGCTGAAGAATCACTGGATCATAACACTCAATGTTATCGAGAGCTGACACAACTTCTATATTATATCTCTCACCTGCTATAAGATTTCTAATTTCATAATTTGTAGTATTTGTAATGCCTAAAAAAGTATAAAAGAGGTTTTATTAAATAAAAAAGAATTGTAATTAATTTTCGTTTCTTATACTTTAATTATAATTAGATTTTTTAAAAATTATTGCTTATTAGTATAAGAACTAAAGCAAGCATTCATAAATGAATAAATTAATTTTTAACAGAAAATCTAGATCTATATCAATAAAAATGTAACTATATCAACAGAATCTACAAAATATCAATTACTTTAATTTTTTACCTTACAATTGACCCAATTATTCTTTAAAGCAAGATTATTGTAAAATATATGAAAGAAATAAAAACATTTGTTTATAATTAAATTATTTTAAGAATTGTAATTCATACAAATGAAAGAATGTGAATATGAACTTATTAAACTATAAAAACAACCCTAAAAGTTTCAATTAAAGTTGTTAGAAAATAAAATATGCTAGCCCATCCTAAACACACTAATTGTCAGATCCCCAAAATTATAGTATGGGACTGCATTCTGATTGGGGAAAACATGAAATATGTCTTCCCCAATCAGCTGATGCTGTTTCTTTGCTGCCACCTAGAATATGATGCTCTCACAGTCTCAAGTCTGGATAAAGAAAAAGAGTTAGCAGCAAGAAAGACATTCAGTCATAAAACTTGGCCAAATCTGACTGCAGCAACTGTCTACTATACAGAGAACAAATACCATACATGCACCCTATATCGCAATGGAAATAATAAAGCTGAATATGAAAATAAAATATAAAAAATTCTAACTTACCAATTTTTTTCACCTGTGCAGAGTTTATTGGATAATATCCAACAGAATAATAATCAATTAGGGAATGTGGTGCTATCCAATTTAACAACAATGTTGAATTTGTTACTTTGGCAATTTCTAAATTTTCCGGAGGTTTAGGACCTGAAATTTTTATCATTAATAAAGAACTGTTAAAAAAAATTCAAAATATGTCTTAACATTTTAATTGATTTTGTTATTTATCAGTATGAAAATGAAAGTGTCAAACAGAGATGATACAATTAAAAAATTTTTAGTTAAATAGCATGAATCCAGATAAGAGGAATTAATATTTATTTAGATAAGAAGCTCAGAAAGGATAATAAGAAATAGTTCAAATAAAAGAAAATAAAATATATACATGGCAACAAGAGAAAATATTTTTAGTTACATAACAAAGAAGATCAATGATTAAACTTGCTTTCCAGAAGTAAAAACAAATAAATAATTATGCATTTCTTTGCACACAGTTTAACATCATAAAATATATATTTTTTCAACAAAATTCTGTCATAATAATACACTATAGATGTCTCATTCATTTAGTTAATGTTTGAAGTTAGTCTAGCATATTCAAAAGATAATAAGATATGTTTATTGTATGTTAACATTTATTGTATGTTTATATATTCAAGGGAAAGACATTGATTATTATACTTACATAATAGAATTTACATTTATAGAACATTTTTTCTAATGATTTATTGCATTTTAATAAAACTGAAAGAATAAATTTACTGATATTTGATAAAGAAAAAATGCTATCNATTGGGCCACAAGTATATATTATATATACTTGTGGCCCAAAACTCCTTGACTTTTTCCAATGTGGCCCAGAAAAACAAAAAGGTTGGACACCCCTGCTCTACTGTATTATATAGTCAAACTTTAATCCTTGTAATGTGCCAATAAATGCTCATGAATGGATCCTTCATAAATATTAGAGAAACCTTTTGTATTTAGGAGTTAGAAGTGAGAACTCTTCTGGACTCTGAACTGCTAATGCACACAACCTTTTTAACTTTTATCAATACTGGTTTTTGTGGAACAGCAAATTCCCATCTGTATTTGAACTAAATGAAAATGTTCCACAAATTTTTGGAATAATGAAGTTAGTTTTGGGTATTTTAAATTTATAAAGATTTTAAAAATTTATTTCTTTATTAGTTCATAATTTGTTTTTATTAGTAACTAGCAGCTATGTATGGCCAGAAAGTAAGACGACAATGTTAAAATGAAAACCATATAATAAGTTTGGACAATTTGACCTACCATTTTTACATTTATCACAAAGTGTCAACGAAATCAAATCAATGAAAGTGTAGGGTGTCCAGGTTTTATGGAAGTTATTTTCCTGAAGGTCCTGAGAATAAGTTTGACCAATCTGCACCAAATTTTTCAAAAAGCTTAGAGAGAAACATTCTATTAAATATATATAATGAAACCAATGAGGAACCATTCTGTCAAAACTTCCATAAGCAGAACTGGATTTTCCACCTCTACTATGAATTACTAAATGTACAATTCTGTATTACAAACATCATCATCATCATCAGGTCACATTATGTAAAAATTTGTTTGAAAGTTGACATGCTACATATAAGTCTTATTGCTTGAGATTACTTTGTCTTTGAAATTGTTACTAAACCAAACATGATACATTCAAAAATCTCAATTTAGCATTATGTATTTTGTATTTTCCTCATTTGTGAGTAGACACTTAGAAAACTGAGTTAGATCTGATCAATTTATTCATACAAGTTATTTTTTTATTCTAAATTAACAACATATTTTGGAATTAAATGTAATATTTTGAACAGAACAGACTCAAATTCTCTTTCAGAAAGATTTTTTGGTAGACTTAGAATTTAAAAGAAATTTTTTCTATAAACAAATGCCAAGCATTTATCTCAAACTATTTCACAAATTGTAAAATTATTTATTGATTCATTATTGTAACTTTCAACCTATCATGTTTTTTTGTTGCTACTGAAATTCGATGAGGTTATTTTTTCTACCCTGTGCAGGCAACCTTTTTTTTTTCTCTGCCCATTGTGAATTCAACCAGACCATTACATATCCAGATTAAACTGGTAAAAATTTGAGATTCTGACAGTCTTCAATCTGGGTCCTAAAGGATCAGATTGAAGCATTTAATGCCTTGGCCACATAGCATGTGGATATTCACAAAACATTCTTTACATTAAAACAATTTCAGAACATGATATTCATTGATGGGAGACCTGACTAATGGCTATCATCTGCATCTTTTAACAGTATATGTTAGCAATCTAATTTTACTGTTTATGATGGATTATCACAATCCTAAAAATTCCTTTGTTTTAAAAAATGATAATATACAAATTGAATTACATGAGTTGAAAATATTTCAAAGATTAGGTTGTTGATACTTTTTTCTAATAAATAAATTGCTAAAAAGCTCACAATATGAATATAGTTTTGCTGGAATTAACTTGATTTCAGTTCATGTTCTTCATTAAAAAGAAACTAAAATTTTCTTTATAGTCTACTGAAGACTGTCTTCTGAAATAAATATTTGTCTTCATATTGCTGCCTGAATAATCTCTTGTCAGACAAATTGATTATTTCAAATAAATATTTGCAATATTAAAATTATATTCCAGATTCAGCAATTCCTTCATCATCTAAAATGAAAATTACGTATTTAAATAAATTATTAAGAATATCCCAAAATTCTCTTAACTTACCTTCATAGCCTTGATTTTCGTGAACTTCCCCATGTATAGGATCAATAATATCTTCTTTTCCATCCAAAACACACAATAAACATTGATAAATACATATATATTGTTGCTAAAAAAATAAATTTTAGAGTTTAAAAAGTCATTAAACACATCAAACAATTTCTTAAACTGAAATACATCATACTTCATTTTGAACCATCCAAACTCGCTCCATTCTCATCTCACGAACGATGCCAAATATGTCAACAAAGTCATATTTTTGTATCTGTTGAAGAATGTGGTCTAGTGCAATAAAAGTTCCTGATCTTCCCACTCCAGCACTATTAAATAAATTTTTTTGTTAAATCTTTAAAAATAAATTATTTTTTGAATTATATTGTTTACATATTTTAGTATTACTCTTAATCATTGGATGATTATAGTTTTATTGAAATGTTAGGCTGAGGTTTTTCTATAGGGTACTTATGTCTTTATGAAAATGTGATTTTTATAATGCTTAATCAACATACAAAAAGTTTATATACTATAAATACATTTATTTATAGAGCATTAAAAATATCAAATTGTAAAGTTAGAGTATGCTAAATGATTGATTGATGGAGCAAGATTCTGGCATATAACATGTCTGGACTCTAGTTTTGCTCATTATTTCTCTGGTAAGGAATGAGCTAAACATATTGGGTTGGACTATATAAAATTTAGAAATTTTGACCTGCCATCAAATTCTGGTTATTTAAAGCATTTTGTAGATATCTCTGCTTCAGCATCCTATTAACAATATGCAAAATGGTAAATTAATACATTGTGATGAATATCATAAAGATGTTTCTATTCACCTTAATTTGTCTAAATGATTGTGAATTTCTGGGAAAAATTGTGAAAACCTTAAAAGGTATATTATAATTAAGTTATTGTGTGAGCTATCTCCCTCTCTTTCTCTCCATTCAAAAGGAAAGGTCAATAATAGGATAACTTTTATTATTTCATTTATAATTCGATAATCATATGTTATACTAAAGCTTTTTAATGTAAGGATCAGTGGAAACTATATAGGTGTATTCATAATTCTGATTTACGTTAATCTCAATATATATTTTATTAATTTTTGTTAATATCAAAACAAATTCAATTTATTGAGTATGTCTGGATATATATAATTTTTATAAGATCTGACTCCATTGTCTTACATTATACATTATGAACGTTCCCTCCTTAAACATCAGGTAAATTGAATTGCAAGTTAGGACACATTGACTATCCTAACTGGTGTCAGGAATCCTGATTTTTCGGTTTTGAATTAAACAAAACGGGGTCTAAGTGGAGCCCTGGAAATTCACATCTTTACCAAAAGTGCTGGGAATGACTGACAACATTGAATGTTCTTTATGAATGTTGAATTTGAATATGAATGTTATGTTTTAATAATTCATCTGTTGTTGCTGTGCATATGGAATTCTATAAGGGGGATGAATAGATAAGGAGGTATGTGGGCATGGATTCAAATCACACTTCTGACATCAGATGTGACTCCCTTTTATTAGCATTGTCAAACCAAGACTTCCACTCTTCCGACACAACAGAAGTTGGGCGGTTTAATGGATGAGTCATAAAATCTCATGTTAAAACTATCAAATTTGAAGGAACTGGTGTTATCATGCTTTAATAGAAAGGAAATTCCTTCTCTAATTTTGTATGTTCTACAAAATTTATCAAACATCTTTAACAAAATATAACAAAATTTTGTAAAAAGGCAAATTATTTTCTCTTGATTCCCACATGATTATGTAACTCCACTAACATTAATAATGTGACCTTGTAAGTTGTCTTAAAAAAAATATTGATCTTAGCCTCCTCAACAACTTCAATGAGTAATATATGACAATCAAATTCCTTGTTATTTTTCTTCTTTTAATGTTTTTTTTTTGCTCCTATTCATGCAGTGAAAATAAACAGTAACTTGTTTTAACAACTAGAAGAATAAAAGAAAATGCTTGTTCTTTACAAAAATAGGTTATTGGCTTCTTAAGTTTTATATTATGTTCATGACAGAATTTGTTTGACTGAAAGAGACAGAAACTTTTCAAAAAACTGCAGAAGTCACTTGGATAATCTGAAAAACTGATTAAATAAAAAAAAATGAAATAGCTTTTAAAAATAGTGAACTCATCAAAAATAGATGTTATTGAAACATGATGAAGAGCTAGTAATGGGAGGCAGAGAGAACAACATCCTATATATGAAGTAAAATTCCTCATGTGTCTGAAAATTTCAACATCTATGGTGTTCTTTAGAAGAGCACCACTTTCTACTATCTTCAATTCAATAAACGTTGACAAATAATCTGCTGGAGTCCTTTTTCTTTCCATACACTAAAGTTCCCAATCTTAAGAAAAAGTGTTCTCACTGAAATAAATCAAGACAAATAAATCTATTCAGTGCTAGGTCAACATGCTGCCAGCCTAGCAAAACAATGTCTATACTTTGAAAAGTAATGTATAAAGAAATAACATTGAGAAATTTCTGATTTGTTGATTAGTTTCCTTGTGAGGCATGTACAAAATTTTTTGAAGTTTTGTTTCTATTCACCCCAAATTACAGTATGTGCTCCAGGTTTTAAAACCTGTTTTTAATATTGAGGATTGAATTTTAAAAAAATACAATTAGCTTTTAATTTTGTATGTATCAGCTTTTATCATCATATTTTACTGTGCTTTACATGTTTGATATGGAGTTGCTGCACATGGAACAAACTGTTTTTCCTAATGCCAACTATCTCTTTTTTTATCCAGATTCAAAATCCAGCAGAGTTACTGTGTTGTGAATGGTGTTAACAGTAGCATTTGTTTTCTTTACTAAATTCAGCAAGAACACTGGACTACTACTACTACATTCCATAATTTTGATGATTTTGTTGAGAACATGTATGCTCAATGAGGCAGTATTGTCTTGAATAAGCATTTTCATTTGTTACAAAAATTTAATATCAAATGTTTTAACTGTAGTTATTTTTCCACATATGAATTATGAATTTGCCATAATGAAAAAAAAATATATTAAAGTTTTTTTTTTTAATGTTTGAAGCATGCAATGCCATAATGTTGTAAATGCCAAAAAGCAAACTTTTCAGGAGAGATAAAAAAACTTTCTAGCAAATGAATTCATTTCAATTTTACAATAAAATGGTAAAAATCTCACTAGGTTACAAATTCTCTGGAATATCAAAATGATGCAAATATAAGCCATAACATTTTCGATACCAAAAGTCACGTGATCTGACACTTTAAATGTTATGACTTCACATAAATTAAACTTCAAAATATAGCCACTTACAGCATCACTATTGTCATAGTATTTAGAGAAAAATGGCATTTACAATGTTATGGCTGCATGTATCATTTACTTTCCTATTTACTTACCTGCAATGAACAATAACAGGTTTGCTATCAAATAAAACTCTATCTCGAAATGCCCTGACAAATTTTACCAGCGTTTGAGGGGGATCTGGTACTCCAAAATCTGGCCATGTTGTGAAATGGAAATGTCTAACTATTCTAGATTGTTCACCCTTTAGAAAAAAAATATTTTAAATTATTTACATTCAATTTTTAAATATATTTTGTTTGATATAATGCAATACCCTGCAAACTTTAAATTCTGAAATAGTCCAATGAGCATATTGAGATTCTGTTAAAATGGTAACTTGGATATCTCCATAATATACAGACTGCATATCAAATGGCCAGTAGTGATCACACTTTTCTCTTCCTTTCTCAACACATCTAGTCAGCATGACGATGGCACGGCAGTTCTGTTCCCACACCATTCTCCAAAAGTCATCTCGTGTGCTATGTAATGGTCCCTGAGTTACAATGAATTCCCGTGGTGAGTTGAAACCCTATTCAAAAGAATTAAAATGTTATATAACATAAAATAAATTTTAACATATTATTTAAATTATTTATATAAAATGTTAATGGGGCTAATGAATGTTGCAATTTCTTAGAAATAGCCTAATTTATTATCTCCTGTAATTAAATTATCTGAAATTATTCTGAACTAAACTAAATTACTGTATTTTGAAATATTTGGAGTCTCTGAAAATAAATATAAATTCACACAATAAGGTTAGAATCTGTAGTTTTCTATTTCTTTATCCAAAAATAATGAAAAATGCATTTCAACCTAAATGATAGACTGAATGACATCAATTTCAAATTAATTAATTAGTTATAGTCAAGAACTGCCAGCCAGGGCTGCGGAGTCGGTAAAAAAACACTCAACTCCGACTCCTGATAATTTTAGTAGGCTGACTCTGACTCCAACTCCCGACTCCGGCAAAATTAAAAACCAATTCATTTTATGAGGGCAGAGGTGCTCATAGGGGTTACCTTACATACTCTGAAAGGAGACCCAGGCATTTACCCAAATACTTTTATAGTTAGTATTTTTAATATTTAACTTACATTAATATTTATTTGTATAAAGAAATTAATTTTTTACGAATATTTAATACTGTAAGAGGAAAAAGGGGAGTGATAAAATTTTACATCTACATATCTTTATTCTACAGCTTTTNTTATTAATGACAATCAAGTGAATTTACGTCAATATTATAAAAATTACTATTTTTCTAATATAATAAATAATTTTTAAATAAGGAATAATTCGAAAAATTGACATTAAAAATATAAATAAATTACGTCATCTGTATATCATGTATGTACTCAGACGGCAGCTTTACCTATTCTTACTCCGCATTATACAAATACGTTCCGAGTTTAATGTCTAATAAATCTTTTTCTGAAAATCTTTTAGCAAATATTGTTACGTACTACTTCTAAAATAATCAAGATTTTTATTACATATCATTTATAATGTTAAAATAAAAGTAGATTAAAATCAAAACTAATGTGTAAACACTAATCTTCCACGTTTGAAGACATAGTAGCTTTAGAAAGAAGTTCGGCTAATAGGGATATATATATATATATAAAGTATTTGTTTCTATTTTTTAATTTTATTTTAATATAATTGATATTTTTATATTCATTAAACTGATTAAACAAATATATTTAACTGTTATTTGAATGTGATAATATAATTTATTATTAAAAGCAACTCCCTCTGGCGTATTTTTTTCTAATTGTAGTAAACACGTGACTGTTTTGATTTCAGTTTTGGTTTTGGTTTTGGTTTTATATAATTGTCCTGTACTTAAACCTTCAGCCTCTATTGATAGTTCAATACTTGAACATGTAAGTAAACTTTTATTATAGAACTAATTAGTTTTAATTTTATTCATTCTATTAATGAGATAAATATTAACTTACCGATATTAATTTTACAGTGTTGTTAAAACTACTATAAAACATGGTGTTTTACAAGATTTGTGTGATGGTTATTTGTTGTTTGTTTTCTGTGTTTTTAATCAAAAACGCACATGGACGTATTTGTGGTAAAGGAAATCATAATGGATCAACTGGTGAATTGGTTCCTCACAGCCAAAACTTAGCAGGAGAAACATGTAAGTGGCACATATTTCCAGAACATAATGATATGCCAGAGACATTTTTGGTTTTTGAAGAGTTTGAATTGGATTCTCAAGACAAATGCACCATTGGCAAGTACAATGGATCAGTTTTATTTGGACCTTTCTCTGGCAAGATGGGAACATTCAGTATATTGGCGGGTTACTTATATCTGGACGTTGTTTTGGAAACTGAAAAGACTCTTTTGCCTCGAAAATTTAAATTGCACTTTACGGCAGAGAAGTGTGATTATTACATAGACAATCAAAAGGGTCGCATTGTTTCACCACTCTATCATGATACACAGCGCAGTTATGAAGTAGTTATCTGTACCTGGAGATTTCGGGATATTAGTGGGGTAGATCTGATGTATTGGATTAAGTTTGATGAATTTCATCTGACCAACAGTACTTTGCATATAAAACACGATAATCACGAAAAAGTTTTAACAGGTACTGATGTGCCTTCTGAATTTCCCATACCTGAACACACCATTTTTGAGTTGCATGTAAATACTAAGATACAAAATGAGAAATTCTCTTTAGACTATGTGTATGGAGAACATATTGTTCCCCAAACAGCAACTCCTGGTGATGTTGGTCCAACAACTACCCCTGTCATTATTAATGATATCTCATTAATTTGTGGTAAAACTGATTATGTTGAAGAGAGTGGAGTGATAACATTGGGAAATACATTGCATACCACTATAGATTTTGATTGTTTTTGGAATATTAACTGTGAAAATATTCCCAATGCTAAAGAATTACATATTCAAGTTGTGGAATTTGAATTAGCAAACGAAGATAATGTTACAGTTTTAGATTCTTCTGGGAAAGTTTTATTTGCATCATATCATGGTAAGAAAGAACCATTTTCAATACTTACTGGTGTTTTAAAATTAAAATTTCATGTAGAAATAAGTAAAAAACAGAAATTTGTAAGAAAGTTGAAAATTGCCTATAATGCTAAAGATTGTGTTAACCAATTAACAAGTGAAAATGGGATTGTGCAATTACCAATTTTTGAATCTGGAAAATCTAAAAGTGTAACTTGTTCATGGACATTTAGTTCGTCTGATAAGACATTGATTCGAAAAATTTCATTTATGAAGCATAAGTTTAATGGAAAATTGTCATTAGAGGGCAATATTCGCCCAAAAAATACCTACACACACAATAATCTTCCTTATGCTTTGGCAAAAGAAAATGGAGTCATAAAGTTAACTTTTGATACAAATTCAGATAATGAATTCATGTTTGTTTATGAGAAAGTATCTGATTGTAGTTCATTCATTGAACTAACTAAAGAAACTTTGATTTCTTCAGCACTGAAAGATAATGCTTTTGACTATTGGGCCAACTGCTTTTGGATAGTGGAGAGCCCAAGAGATTCTGTCATTAGATTGGAAATTCAAAAATTAAATTTAATCAATTTGCAGGATTATGTAATTGTTACTGATGGAAACAGTGAGAAAGCTCCTTTATTGTCTCAAATGAATGCTGGTAATCAATACAGAATAAGTAAGAAAGAGATAATATCACAAAATAACTCTATAATAATATTTTTTCATACTCAGTCAGTTCATGTTTCAGAATTTGAAGCAAAATTAAGCATTTCTAAATGTCCATTATTTTGTGATAATGGTTACTGCATGCTTGAGAAATGGAAATGTGATGGAATTAATGATTGTGGTGATTACACTGATGAAAAAGACTGCAACAAAACAATAGTGATCCTCCCTCCAGTTGAGCCACCGAGGGAATCCAAAACAAGCGATAGCAGTAATGGAGTTTCAAACTTAGCCATAGGATTAGCTGTACCAGCTGCCTTTATTGGTGGAATACTAGTCACAATAGCATGTGCTGCTGGAAAGCAAATGTATAGAAACCGTGTATCCCAAGATTATGGAGCATTCCCAATATTTAATGATCCATGAAGTTCAAACAGCTCTTACCATCCTGGGGCCAGATTCACAAACATCTCGTATCATAAGTTAAGACAAATTTCCTTCTAAGTTACCAGATATGAAAAGTTTTATGATATACTTTGTGAATATAAGTTATGATATTGTAAAAAGTCTCAAATATTATATCTAATAACTACTACCTTTTCCAGTATACTGACTTCTAAGAGCTGAGTATTTGTCTCCATTGGTAAATAATAAAATCAATAGTTATTATCTGTTTTAAAATATTTCTTATTCTAAACTACTAAGATGTCCTCAAATACTGAAATGAAAAAATTGACAAATTTCTCAGTGGACTGTTGTGTAAAAAATATCTCATTCATTATAAAATTATCCCTTTTTTAACCCCCCAAAAACTGTGTGTATATATATATATATATGGTTGTATTGCAGTTACCAATATTTGAAATAAATGAAAAAAAAAAAAAGAGTATATGAGATTTATATGCTCAATTTTTCATTTATTTCAAATTTCTTCAATATTTCCAAGATCAGGTAGTTTCCTTTCATATTTTATACTTTATCACTTAAAATGTTTTGTAGATGGCATATTAAAATTGGGTTGTTTTGTTAAATTATTTCCTCAGATATTACAAATATGAGAAAATTTCTGAAAAAAATATCACAAAGAAATGCATTTTGATTGGCTTTATTAAAACAGAAGGGGTCACTAATGATATCACAAGATACATTCTTGTTACTAATTTTTTCTGTTTTATGGTATATTCCATGATGTGTTTTGTGAATATGAAATGTAAAATATCATTAGTTTCTCTGAAATTGCAAAGTTACCAGAAACTATGTTGTATCTTATGAGATATTTATGAATCTAGCCCTTAATTTTAAAATGTGATAAACAAACTAATACAAAAGCTTTTTATTTTTAACTTAAATATAGGGAATATTTTAAAATTAGCTTATTTTAAGTCTAGCTTGACTTAAAGATTTGAATGTTCAGACATTCTTCAAAAACAGTTAAATACCTGTGATGATGTGTTTTAGATGTTTTGTAATTTTTTCCCAGAATCTACTGTATTTAAAAGTTTATGATGTAAAGTTTAAAAAAAGTGTTTGTGTTTATCAAATTCCATTTGATACTCTCACTCACTGAATTTGTTTTGATTGTAAAAATTTTATTTCAAATAAAATTTTTTTGTTTTACATATTATTTACAATGATATATTACACCATACAAATTTTGTACTGTGGTATGAGACTAATTGTACATTACATGTTTATTTCTTGAGCACATAACTTAAAGAAGAAATTATTATTCAGTTAAACAATACCAAATTCTTTAATTAGATGTATTAAATATTTTCATTAATAATTTTATGAAAGTTCCAAATTACTGTAAATANATATCCAGATTAAACTGGTAAAAATTTGAGATTCTGACAGTCTTCAATCTGGGTCCTAAAGGATCAGATTGAAGCATTTAATGCCTTGGCCACATAGCATGTGGATATTCACAAAACATTCTTTACATTAAAACAATTTCAGAACATGATATTCATTGATGGGAGATCTGACTAATGGCTATCATCTGCATCTTTTAACAGTATATGTTAGCAATCTAATTTTACTGTTTATGATGGATTATCACAATCCTAAAAATTCCTTTGTTTTAAAAAATGATAATATACAAATTGAATTACATGAGTTGAAAATATTTCAAAGATTAGGTTGTTGATACTTTTTTCTAATAAATAAATTGCTAAAAAGCTCACAATATGAATATAGTTTTGCTGGAATTAACTTGATTTCAGTTCATGTTCTTCATTAAAAAGAAACTAAAATTTTCTTTATAGTCTACTGAAGACTGTCTTCTGAAATAAATATTTGTCTTCATATTGCTGCCTGAATAATCTCTTGTCAGACAAATTGATTATTTCAAATAAATATTTGCAATATTAAAATTATATTCCAGATTCAGCAATTCCTTCATCATCTAAAATGAAAATTATGTATTTAAATAAATTATTAAGAATATCCCAAAATTCTCTTAACTTACCTTCATAGCCTTGATTTTCGTGAACTTCCCCATGTATAGGATCAATAATATCTTCTTTTCCATCCAAAACACACAATAAACATTGATAAATACATATATATTGTTGCTAAAAAAATAAATTTTAGAGTTTAAAAAGTCATTAAACACATCAAACAATTTCTTAAACTGAAATACATCATACTTCATTTTGAACCATCCAAACTCGCTCCATTCTCATCTCACGAACGATGCCAAATATGTCAACAAAGTCATATTTTTGTATCTGTTGAAGAATGTGGTCTAGTGCAATAAAAGTTCCTGATCTTCCCACTCCAGCACTATTAAATAAATTTTTTTGTTAAATCTTTAAAAATAAATTATTTTTTGAATTATATTGTTTACATATTTTAGTATTACTCTTAATCATTGGATGATTATAGTTTTATTGAAATGTTAGGCTGAGGTTTTTCTATAGGGTACTTATGTCTTTATGAAAATGTGATTTTTATAATGCTTAATCAACATACAAAAAGTTTATATACTATAAATACATTTATTTATAGAGCATTAAAAATATCAAATTGTAAAGTTAGAGTATGCTAAATGATTGATTGATGGAGCAAGATTCTGGCATATAACATGTCTGGACTCTAGTTTTGCTCATTATTTCTCTGGTAAGGAATGAGCTAAACATATTGGGTTGGACTATATAAAATTTAGAAATTTTGACCTGCCATCAAATTCTGGTTATTTAAAGCATTTTGTAGATATCTCTGCTTCAGCATCCTATTAACAATATGCAAAATGGTAAATTAATACATTGTGATGAATATCATAAAGATGTTTCTATTCACCTTAATTTGTCTAAATGATTGTGAATTTCTGGGAAAAATTGTGAAAACCTTAAAAGGTATATTATAATTAAGTTATTGTGTGAGCTATCTCCTTCTCTTTCTCTCCATTCAAAAGGAAAGGTCAATAATAGGATAACTTTTATTATTTCATTTATAATTCGATAATCATATGTTATACTAAAGCTTTTTAATGTAAGGATCAGTGGAAACTATATAGGTGTATTCATAATTCTGATTTACGTTAATCTCAATATATATTTTATTAATTTTTGTTAATATCAAAACAAATTCAATTTATTGAGTATGTCTGGATATATATAATTTTTATAAGATCTGACTCCATTGTCTTACATTATACATTATGAACGTTCCCTCCTTAAACATCAGGTAAATTGAATTGCAAGTTAGGACACATTGACTATCCTAACTGGTGTCAGGAATCCTGATTTTTCGGTTTTGAATTAAACAAAACGGGGTCTAAGTGGAGCCCTGGAAATTCACATCTTTACCAAAAGTGCTGGGAATGACTGACAACATTGAATGTTCTTTATGAATGTTGAATTTGAATATGAATGTTATGTTTTAATAATTCATCTGTTGTTGCTGTGCATATGGAATTCTATAAGGGGGATGAATAGATAAGGAGGTATGTGGGCATGGATTCAAATCACACTTCTGACATCAGATGTGACTCCCTTTTATTAGCATTGTCAAACCAAGACTTCCACTCTTCCGACACAACAGAAGTTGGGCGGTTTAATGGATGAGTCATAAAATCTCATGTTAAAACTATCAAATTTGAAGGAACTGGTGTTATCATGCTTTAATAGAAAGGAAATTCCTTCTCTAATTTTGTATGTTCTACAAAATTTATCAAACATCTTTAACAAAATATAACAAAATTTTGTAAAAAGGCAAATTATTTTCTCTTGATTCCCACATGATTATGTAACTCCACTAACATTAATAATGTGACCTTGTAAGTTGTCTTAAAAAAAATATTGATCTTAGCCTCCTCAACAACTTCAATGAGTAATATATGACAATCAAATTCCTTGTTATTTTTCTTCTTTTAATGTTTTTTTTTTGCTCCTATTCATGCAGTGAAAATAAACAGTAACTTGTTTTAACAACTAGAAGAATAAAAGAAAATGCTTGTTCTTTACAAAAATAGGTTATTGGCTTCTTAAGTTTTATATTATGTTCATGACAGAATTTGTTTGACTGAAAGAGACAGAAACTTTTCAAAAAACTGCAGAAGTCACTTGGATAATCTGAAAAACTGATTAAATAAAAAAAAATGAAATAGCTTTTAAAAATAGTGAACTCATCAAAAATAGATGTTATTGAAACATGATGAAGAGCTAGTAATGGGAGGCAGAGAGAACAACATCCTATATATGAAGTAAAATTCCTCATGTGTCTGAAAATTTCAACATCTATGGTGTTCTTTAGAAGAGCACCACTTTCTACTATCTTCAATTCAATAAACGTTGACAAATAATCTGCTGGAGTCCTTTTTCTTTCCATACACTAAAGTTCCCAATCTTAAGAAAAAGTGTTCTCACTGAAATAAATCAAGACAAATAAATCTATTCAGTGCTAGGTCAACATGCCAGCCTAGCAAAACAATGTCTATACTTTGAAAAGTAATGTATAAAGAAATAACATTGAGAAATTTCTGATTTGTTGATTAGTTTCCTTGTGAGGCATGTACAAAATTTTTTGAAGTTTTGTTTCTATTCACCCCAAATTACAGTATGTGCTCCAGGTTTTAAAACCTGTTTTTAATATTGAGGATTGAATTTTAAAAAAATACAATTAGCTTTTAATTTTGTATGTATCAGCTTTTATCATCATATTTTACTGTGCTTTACATGTTTGATATGGAGTTGCTGCACATGGAACAAACTGTTTTTCCTAATGCCAACTATCTCTTTTTTTATCCAGATTCAAAATCCAGCAGAGTTACTGTGTTGTGAATGGTGTTAACAGTAGCATTTGTTTTCTTTACTAAATTCAGCAAGAACACTGGACTACTACTACTACATTCCATAATTTTGATGATTTTGTTGAGAACATGTATGCTCAATGAGGCAGTATTGTCTTGAATAAGCATTTTCATTTGTTACAAAAATTTAATATCAAATGTTTTAACTGTAGTTATTTTTCCACATATGAATTATGAATTTGCCATAATGAAAAAAAAATATATTAAAGTTTTTTTTTTTAATGTTTGAAGCATGCAATGCCATAATGTTGTAAATGCCAAAAAGCAAACTTTTCAGGAGAGATAAAAAAACTTTCTAGCAAATGAATTCATTTCAATTTTACAATAAAATGGTAAAAATCTCACTAGGTTACAAATTCTCTGGAATATCAAAATGATGCAAATATAAGCCATAACATTTTCGATACCAAAAGTCACGTGATCTGACACTTTAAATGTTATGACTTCACATAAATTAAACTTCAAAATATAGCCACTTACAGCATCACTATTGTCATAGTATTTAGAGAAAAATGGCATTTACAATGTTATGGCTGCATGTATCATTTACTTTCCTATTTACTTACCTGCAATGAACAATAACAGGTTTGCTATCAAATAAAACTCTATCTCGAAATGCCCTGACAAATTTTACCAGCGTTTGAGGGGGATCTGGTACTCCAAAATCTGGCCATGTTGTGAAATGGAAATGTCTAACTATTCTAGATTGTTCACCCTTTAGAAAAAAAATATTTTAAATTATTTACATTCAATTTTTAAATATATTTTGTTTGATATAATGCAATACCCTGCAAACTTTAAATTCTGAAATAGTCCAATGAGCATATTGAGATTCTGTTAAAATGGTAACTTGGATATCTCCATAATATACAGACTGCATATCAAATGGCCAGTAGTGATCACACTTTTCTCTTCCTTTCTCAACACATCTAGTCAGCATGACGATGGCACGGCAGTTCTGTTCCCACACCATTCTCCAAAAGTCATCTCGTGTGCTATGTAATGGTCCCTGAGTTACAATGAATTCCCGTGGTGAGTTGAAACCCTATTCAAAAGAATTAAAATGTTATATAACATAAAATAAATTTTAACATATTATTTAAATTATTTATATAAAATGTTAATGGGGCTAATGAATGTTGCAATTTCTTAGAAATAGCCTAATTTATTATCTCCTGTAATTAAATTATCTGAAATTATTCTGAACTAAACTAAATTACTGTATTTTGAAATATTTGGAGTCTCTGAAAATAAATATAAATTCACACAATAAGGTTAGAATCTGTAGTTTTCTATTTCTTTATCCAAAAATAATGAAAAATGCATTTCAACCTAAATGATAGACTGAATGACATCAATTTCAAATTAATTAATTAGTTATAGTCAAGAACTGCCAGCCAGGGCTGCGGAGTCGGTAAAAAAACACTCAACTCCGACTCCTGATAATTTTAGTAGGCTGACTCTGACTCCAACTCCCGACTCCGGCAAAATTAAAAACCAATTCATTTTATGAGGGCAGAGGTGCTCATAGGGGTTACCTTACATACTCTGAAAGGAGACCCAGGCATTTACCCAAATACTTTTATAGTTAGTATTTTTAATATTTAACTTACATTAATATTTATTTGTATAAAGAAATTAATTTTTTACGAATATTTAATACTGTAAGAGGAAAAAGGGGAGTGATAAAATTTTACATCTACATATCTTTATTCTACAGCATTTGCACTTCAATTTCACCCTTCCAGAAAAGTTAGTCCAACTAAAGAGCCCCTTGTTCAGAAAAGAAAAATATATACTTGATCAATTAGTCTGGCTCATTCAGAAAAATATAGTACTTATTTAAAGTGGAGATAATAAAGGATTGAATTAAAAATATTCAAACTCAATTGGGTCAAAATAATTTAACTACTAAACACAAATACTATAAAGAAAACTATTGATACATATTTAATAAATTAAATTGTTGCATTTTGTACTTAAAATAAATTATAACAAAATATAAAATAAATTTTCTTTCATTTAAATAAAAAAAAAACTAAATTAAATTTAAAATGCTGGAGTCAGAGTTGACACATTGTTCCCAACTCTAACTCCACAGCCCTGCTGCCAGCAAAACTATTAATTTTGCAAATTTTAACAATAAAGTAAATACAGCATAATTCAAAAGTTAAATTAAATATAAACAACTGGAATTGGATGAAAAAGGTACTAGTAAATTTACATTATCTAATCACAGAACCTCTTCAGCATCCAGTAAAACATTGTGATTTGTTTCATCTTCCACATTTTACTGGATGCTGAAGAGGTTCTCTGATTAGATGTTAATATGTTTCCAGTAATAGAGAAGTACATTTTTGTTAGTAAATTTATTAAAGTGAGTTTTGAATTAAAGACTTAATCTAAATGAAACATTATATATATTTATGATACATATGTTAACATAATAAAGAATAGTTTATTTTATAAAATGGTTTAGAAACCACTTTCTAGATTATTACAAACCATTAAATTAAATCTCATCTACATATTTATAATAAAGTAAGACATTAATGAAAAGATTATAACTTAATTTTGTTTGTTAAATATTTATAAAAGTAAATTTGACATATTTTATAAGTACTTACAGATACATAATTTGCATTGATGTAATCTGAACCTTCTTCATCATCACTTGGCAGCAATTTTACCCGAGAGTGATCATAAGGCAAAATGTTTGTAAAGCGATTCTTTGGCCTATTGACAGGTAAATCAGCTGCTACACATGGTTTGTCACGACCTACATGTTTCAACATTTCAAATTCTTCTGCAAATCTAAAATCTGAATCTGCAGACATCATGCAATAATGTTCTGCAAAATCCTTTAACTTAACTGGATGGCTGGAATAAAATTATGGTTTGCATAAATATATTGTGTTTGATATAATTATTATTTTATACTTAATTTATTAAACATTATTCTCTACAAAAATTTCATAGTTTTTGTACAGATGAATTATTCTAGATGTTTAGAATATCTATTAAAATATTGTTTTGAATTTCTTGTACTCATATATATGACAAACAGATAATGTTCCTAAACTCTTATTGAACATTTATAATCAGTTTATAAAGTGTTTTATATTAATTTTTATCTGTGTTCATCAATATTTTGTGTCATTGAAAGTGTTGCATATGGCATATCAGTGACATAGACTGATCACTGATTTGGATAGGTATATTATTGATCAGATAGAATTATGATGTAGATGAAGTTATTATACGTTGTCCAGTTATTTAAATTCTTGATTAAATAACAAGTATATGTCTTATTTACCATAAATTCATAAAAAATTATTCTGTCCTATGACAAACTCAAAGTACAATTTGGCCCCAAAACTGAAAACATTGAAACATTCTGATACAGATCTTAAAAGTTTTGCTATTTATACCTTAATAAAAAGCCTAAAATGAGAAACTTTTTAATATTATATGCATTACTTTAAGTAACAACAATTACCTTGTGATGATTTCACTCTCAGGAATTGATAATGTATCAGATTTATGCCTATCTCCGTTTCTCATTGAGGGTATGATTCTTCGTCTTCTCCAAATTATAAGACTCACAAATGTTATTACCAGTAGTGACAAAGGTATCACAATACCGGCAATTAAAGGAGTATTGTCAGGATCTAAGTTAGTATAAATATAAATAAAATTTTTATAAGATTTAAAATTAAATATGGATACAACTTATAATTATAACATTGTTAGCATTACAATTTAAAAAATTTATTTTGTGATGCTAGCAAATGATAAAAGAATTAAAGAATATATGAAATATATATGATAGAAGTGTTGATAGACTGGAAGAGTTGAAAGACATCAGAAAAAAAAGAAAGGTTTTCATTACAATAATTTATATTCTCCTTATCTGTGCCAGTAATATATATTTTATTCTTTCTATGTTGTAGGCACTAAAAGAATCTTAAAAATGCATTATGAATTGGTCAGGCCAGGAGATTAGGAATGGAATCCATCAATTCCAGTCTGGAAAATTTCTGAGGATCCAATCTTGAATCAAACCCTAACCTCAGACAAAATGGTAAAAGTATTGGCTTGTTTCTCTCTCTAGCTGTTGTTGAATGCTTTGCAAGCAATACAATCAAGAGATTATACAAGAGTTATTTATATTAATACTGATAATAAAAAAACCCAGGAAAAGACAGAGAGAACAAGTGAAAGAGGACAGAAAATTGGACAAGATTAAAGCAGAGTGGAAGTACATTAGGTTTGATAAAACAAGAAGATTGCAGTATGTTAACTCAGCGTGTAATTCTCAAAACAAATTTTCATTAAAGAGAATTAATTTTTTGAGATGTTTGCTATTTATTTTTAAATGCTATAATAATTTTTATAATTAAGATTTTAACTTTCATATTAAAAAAATAGAATATATTTATATTTCAAGGCTTTTTGCAAGACACCAAATTATATTACTTATACTGGTACTTATTTTATATCTTGATAGAAAAAAAAAACTTAAGAAAATTACCTGTTTGAATTCTATGAGAATAAACAGTATCTGTGAATTTATCACTTGCAGTGAAAGCTCTTAATTTCACTCTATAGGATGTTCCTGGTTTTAGAGGACCATTACAGTATCCTTTTACTCCTTTACATTCTGCCACACCTATTACATAATCTTCTACAAATGTTCCATTGAATGGATAATATGGATTTGTTACCTATAAAAGAATTATTTTTAATTATCCTGAATTTCAAATAAAAAGATTTTAATTACAGACAGTTAAAAGTATTATCAATTTAAATTATGTAATTAATTATTAACAGTTAAAAAGTTGACTGTTATTGTCTAGTAATAATTTGTTCTGTTTTAGTATCTTACATATGCTGAATCTTGTATTTAAGGATGTTCTTAAGAACTTTCTATTACTATTTTCACCTTTTAAATGTCCTAAGAAAGAATGATAATGTTTGAAAGATCTGAAGTTATCTGTTTAAATTGCTTTATAGGAGCTAGAAAGTAATTTGATATACATATTAAATAAAGAAATATAACAAGTAGACTACTTTTGTGATGTAGTTGGTTTCTAGAAAACTACCATTGAGTCATGCTTTTTTCCTTAAACTTAAACTAAGATTATAGCATCACACAGAGATGGACAATAAGAAAATATATTATTTCATATAGTAATTACAGAAAATTTATATTAGTTGTAAAAGTGGAGGGTTGCAAAAGTAAGCAGTCATAAAACACATATAGTTTACTTTAAAAAGCCTACATTTTTGTGTGTAGTTTTAAGTAAAATAATTTGAAAACAATGTAAAAGATACAGGAATAATATCATTACTTTTGGAAATACACAATTTTCTCATTAAAGTCATACAAAATAAAAGAGAAATTATTTAACTTGCTTATGTTCTCTTTCTGATTCCTAATATTCATATTAAACTAAAAATGACATAAAGTTTTGTTTTAATACAGAATTAACCATATGTATCTTATTTATTTTTACCCCATTTAATTTATAGCTTATTGCTAGATGTTCAAATTTTATCAAAGGATTTATCAAATGGGTCAAAAATTCAAACATATAATGAAAAACAGTAACTTAAGACAGAATAACAAATATACAGCCAATCTTGTAATAAGGATGAGGAGAATAATATTTCTTTAAATATTTATTAAATAATTTCTTATAGACATTTTGTTTATTTAATATATATTTAAAGAAATATTATTTTGTAAAGCTCTTTAATCTGAAATTATGAAAGTGAATAAAAAATGAGTCACGTAGAAAATCTAATTTAAATTACATAATGCCATATTTAATCCTCAATATGTTTAAAATTTTTTATAGAATACTTTATAAAGAAATATTAAATTTTAAATGTCAGCATTAAATATTTATTTTAACAGCACAAAATATTAACAAGTTAATACCTGATAGGGAGGCCAAACAGAAAATCCCTGAACATCACTCCAGGTTGGCAATTCTAATTCTTTAAATTTGTCATTATCATCTTCAGAGATTATTAGAGTGTAAGCGACAATGGGCCCATTCTTCTCACTAAAATAACTTTTTAGAAATCTTACTTGAATTGTTGTCGAAGTGTGACTAAGTTCTGTAGGAAATATATTAGATGCTGGTAAAGGTGGAGCTGGAAACAGAAAAACTTTATTCTGATTTTGTTCACTAATACATAAGATTCTTTAAATTCACATTTTTTAATTAAAAGCAGTTGAAAATTCTTACCACCAATTGGTAAAGATAATGAAAGTATAGATATTTGTCCTGGACCAACTTTTGTATGAGCCTGAATCTGAAATATTCAGTTAAAGATTTACAATTAAAATATCATAAATTTTTAAATGAGTAATTAATTATATTTAGAAAATATATTAGATAAATATACAATATGACACAAATAACATTAATATTATAAGAAATTCAGATGATGACTATGATATGTCTCATAACTAATAAACTGAAATTAAAAATAATGTTGGTAAATTTACTTGATTACAAAACAATTTTGAATAATTGTTGGTATATATATATAAACATCTCAAAGCCTGATATTTTATAATGAAACCAAATAATGTCTGGAAGTGAGGGATTGGGCAGACGTCCAGGTAATGTAATTGGAAACACATCTGTGTGGTAAGCAGCAGTTGTGGATTTGAGTACTGATCCAGGCCAATTCGTTTCTTCCAGAATATTCTAAACTTTTTAATAAATATTAATCTAATTATAATTATTAAAATTAATAAGAGATGGTATCTAATGCTTACCTCTAGTACCAAATTACGCAGTATTTAATTATTAACAGTAGTGGTAAAGTAGCCTGATTTAAATCCATTTGGTTTCATTATAAAATATCAGGCTTTGTTTATATATGTTTAATTTGAAAGCTCGTGTTTATATATTCTCAAAAAATTCAAAAATTTAATAACATAATACTTACCTACATTTAAACTTCAAATTATGAAATATTTCAAAAGCTAGAACTTTTACACAATAACAAGGAATGAAGCTTATACACTTTTCCAGCAGGATAATGTTTTTTTTTTAATTTACCCAGTAACAAATGTTTTCAGCCTCATTCAGAAACCTAATGTTTTATTGTATAATAAGTATAACAGGAATATAATAATAGGTGAATACGTATAATTTCAAAACCCTGTAACCATTTAAATATTAAGATGCAGAAGAACAATCTCAAAAACAATCTAAATTTGAAATTCTCAGCTTGCATTTTATGTTTCTTCTGTGTCAGCCTGATGTAGACCCCTAAATGAGGCGAAAAACATTTGCTACTGAATAAATTAAAAAAACATTATCCTGCTGGGAAAGTATGGGTTCATTCCTTGTTACTATAAAACTTCAAACACCACAAGAAAAGCTGCTTTATTGGAGTCATAATTGCAAAAACAACATCAGTTCCTTAGTATTTTTTTACCTCTTAAGTCCATCTTTGGGGAATAAAATTCACAAAATATCCAAAACACAAACTTCGAATCTAATCAAACATATCATTTTTGAATTTATTCAAAAATTATTTGTTTGTTTGTAGTGATATTTATTTTTCTATTTTGACATCAGTAAAACGAATTTTCTTGTAGAAAATTCTGGAAGAAAACAATCAGCCAGGAGCAGGACTCATACCTGCAATAGCCATTTACCATGTGGATGTGTTGCCAGTTATGCTACCCAGACCTCTGTCCAATCCCTCACTTTTAGATATAACCATACTAGTTACTCAAAGTGCCAACTGGAAACAATTCAGCGTCCAAGGCCTGTAATCACCTACTATGGCACTCAACCAGCTTTACCCTGGCATGATGTATATATACATATAAACATCTGAAAGCCCAATAACTATATTAAAGCTAAATGATTGCCAAATTAATTTTCTTGTATTATTCAAAAATTTATTTTAAAACAAGAACAATAAATAGTATCATACATACCTCAAAAATATATGATTTACCAGGTTTTAAATTATAAATTGTTCCTTGTGTTACATTAGGACTAAATATTTCATGTTCTTCTCTTTCTGGCTTATCCTTAAAGCATAAAAGTTTGGAATAAATGTCTAAATTTATTTTTGTGTGTATGAAAATAAATAACCAATTTTTCTACATCAATGATCTAATTATCAAAATATATGTAATATTTTTTAAATAGATTTATGTAGTAAATAATATTACCATATTTAATTAAAACTAGAGTTATTATATAAACAAAACTCTAATACTGTATTATAAATGTTGAAGAAGTTTCTAATCTGTGGTTTGATGTTTAATTTTATGCAAAATTATTTATAAAATTAATTTATTGCAGAAATATTATTAATAAGCATTTAAATTTCCAATGTTTTACTTTTTTCATTTATTTTGATTGGAAATTTCCTTTTAGCTCCTTCTTGCAATAGCACAATACTATTCAAGAATGCAGCTCACAATTGTTCTGAAAGTTATGTTATCAATTTGAAGTAAACTGTTTTATAGTATTATTTTAACTCAGATCACTTTATTGTTAGTAGAATGTAATCCTGAATTGTATTCTTCAATATCACAATCTATCCATATAATAAAAAGATAGTATTGATGAAAAAATGGTTGGGAGACATATAAATCTTTAATAACAATATATATAAAATAATAAATGTACCCATTTGTAATGCAAATGCCAAGTAGAAAATGAGTGATAATATATCAGGTCAGTCCATAAGTTTGTGCCTGTTTTATGACCTTGAGAAAAATCTTGTTTTGCTGTTAAAAATGCCAGTGTAATGTGATACTTTTTACACTGAAATGTTAAATTGGATCTCATTCATATAATACTGTTCAGAATTGGGAACATTTCAGTTGTTTATTTTCGTTAAAATGGAAGTAACAGACGAATATAAGAGACATGTTTTATACTTTTTATTTTTAAGTGATGAGAATGCTACAAATGCAGCCAAAAAATTAAATACTGTTCATAATCAAACTGTAATTAGTGTAAGGACTG